TTATTTTTTTACAGGTTTAGATGAAACTAGCTCATGCTTTAGTGCTGTGCAAATTTCTTTAGCATATCAACATTTAAATTATTGATATGAAATAAAAGAATGGCATCCTTTTTAATTATGTATGCCTTCAAAAATCAGCTTCGGATTTTAATACAATTGCAAGCACTAATACCAAATGCAGATTACGTAAAGAAACAAAACTAGTACTATGGCAGAGGTTTTTCTTTTTGCTTTTTAAACTTTAATAATTCTTTTGAAGTCTCTAATGAGTAAGCATGACACTGGACACTAAGGTACAGATGAGAAAATGACTCAAAAACACCAATTGCCAATATTCAAATACATAAAATTGATTAGTAAATGATGTTTTCTAACATTTATGCACAATAATAAAAGCCTATGAACTACAGGAAATTACCCCTCCCATATTAAGGCTAGGAAATGCACTCTCTGCACTTGTTTGTGCTGTCTGAATAAGCACTCAACTAACATAGGAGATCAGAGTGCACGCAGTAACGAAAAAATCAGTTTCATCAGCCCTCTACAGAGTGCTTTTAAATTACAGGCACATAGTTTTTTTTTGTTTGTTGCAGTGAAAATATATATATAGTTAGACTTGGTTTAGTTAGTATTCTGTGCCAGTTCGGCCACCAAGGTTGACTTAGGTAGAATTGACTTAACAGTTTTTCCTTTGATTTGGCCATAAGTGAGATTTGTTTTAATTATAGATATACTATTTTCCAGTGTGCATTATACATTGTAGGTTATTACTAGGTGTCTCAAATATTGTTAGAGATTGTTGATGAGAAATACACGGTCAACCATATTTAGTGCAAATTGCATCTAGAAAGCTTGCCTGGTTAGATCCGGTTAATGGAGATTTTTGTGGTAGCAAAATGATTCCTGCCATGGAAAAAAACACATTAACTTTTCTGAAAATTGAATTCTTTCAAGAACTGATGTACTGTAAGATTATTCAAAAAACAAAAAGCAGGAATTTAAAAAAAACAAAACAATGAAAGTGTTCATAGAACTTTCTCTTTTTTTAAAAAAAAAAAAAAGACTAACGAGACAGTGTTCGTGTAATATTTCAGTTCCATGGATTTACAGACAGGCTCTTCCTACAGGTGTTTGAAGCAAGGTAGGGCCTCTTCTATTCCAGCAGCATGAAAGACAAAGACTATATTACATCACACTTAGCAGGTAAAGCTAACAGGGTTTACAGGATTACACAGCAATTGCTTTCTCCAGTTTTTTCACGGTTCCTTTGACCTGTGGAGCAAGAAGAAAGTTTTGCTTACATGCCATTTCTAAAGCAATCATGTTGTTTTGTGTGTGAGTATGCTTGATACAAGTATGCTTTTTATTATTTTTAGTAAAAAAATTATTTATTATTATAGATAGACATGCATACATAACTGAAAAATAAATCAGGAGTAGTTTTTAAGAATAAACCCAAAAGCTTTTAATATTTGAGTACATTTCTGCATTCTACAAAGATGCTAAACCAGAAAGTTAATTTCTTAGTTTTCTATAAACAACACGTACAAAAGTATTTCATTACTTGCTTCACAAAAGACTTGACATGGACTTGACTTTTCTCTACTATGAAACATTCAAAGAGCCTGTAAGAGATCTGACTGCTTTGCCATGTACTTAAGTAAGAAATAAGTCTAGTGCACAGCGTACCTTGAGAGTTTGGCTCTGGCAATGTCTCTCTAGCCACCAAATGCATCACTGTTGTTTTCCCAAAAGGAAGTTTTAATGCTGCAAAAGGAGAAAGGGAGATTTATTAATACATTACAGCAGTTGTCTTTCTTCAAAACACCCAATTGAAACTAACTATAATTGGATCAGCACCTGTTCAAAAGTTTATACTGTTAGGTTTGAACTACTAAATAGATTTATAAAGGCGTTCCTGGCTAAAGTTTTGTAGATCAGGGTCTTAGGACCTGATAATAATCACTTAAAACATTGTGTTCTTAGAGACACGATATTCCTGTTAGGAAACTTAGCCTTCCTCTTTTGAGTAAAGGAAGAAGTGGGCATTCATGTCAAGACTCAGCTGCTAAGCACCCTTTATTGACAAAGATGCAAAAAAGTGGCTAATTCAGCCACTAAATTGTTAATCCCGAGACATCAAAACACTGAGCCACTAGTGCAAAACAGATTTTCCTAAAACATGCTTTGATCCACGATACAGATTTCCTGAAATATGAAATGTCTGCATCTAGCCTTTTAATACTAATCAAATGTCAACTGCATGTGAAAAATATCAAATTTAAAGCATTCTCAGATAAGATAGTTCTCATAATGCTGCCTTTGTGAGCTTTAGTACCACAAAATAACAAAATTGGAGCTTTCCACAATTCATTCTGCTTGTTTCTGAAACTAAAATGATGATTTTCACATTCTGATTTAAGTATACTAACACAGTGCTGTACTTATGGTTTTAGCGCTATAGTATAATATCCATCAAAACTTCTAGTCTCCTTGAAATGAAAGGATTCTCTGTTGCTCATCATGTTTAGCAGATTCTCCTTGCCAGATTCAATATTCTGAACTTTGACTTCTTCCAATTATTATGGGGGGTGGGGATGGGGTGGTATTTTTACAAGTTCTTTACATAACTTTAGTTTTGTTTCCTCTCTCCAACTCCTAACATTAAGCATCTTTCTTGATTATTTTTCTGAGAAATGTAAGGTAAAGATGCTAAGTTTTGTCGTGTCCCCCCCCCATATAGAGGGGAAAAAAGTCAGCGATAAATGTAACAAGAATTTAACCCTAAATACACAAATCGTTCTGACCCGAGTAGAATCTGTCCTCTCAAATTCAATTTACATCTTCTATTTTCACATACAGCGCACCAAGGCATTTTAAGTGAATAAATGAATAATGAATGTCCAATAAACCTGAAGGTAACTGAAGAGAAAAATGCCCTTCTCTATTTTAATCACTACAGCATAGATTCAAAATTCAGTAATTAGAAAAATAAACAAACCTAGTAGTTGGTTACTACATGATTCAATACAAGCCTAGCTACAACACTGCTATTAATCATGTTCATTGCCTATGTATTTGTTTGAAAAAATGCAAGTTATGATTAAAACACAGGTGTAACCATAGGGAGGGATATACAGCTCCACAAGCTTCTTTGAAATAGCTGTACTTTGGGAAAAGCCATCTCTATAGAAAGTCAGATCTGAAAGTTGCTTAGTTTACTTGAAGCACTACCTGTGCCTGCAACTAGAAGCTATTGATAGCTTAAAGTCTGGTAAGGATGAAATATTTGGGTACTTGATTCTGTGATACAACTGAAAAATCTGCAAAAAGCGTATTACCAGCCTGTTAAACTCAATGGAAAAGGATTGTCTTCATGACAAACTCCTAAGAAGCCATTACAGAAAGAGCAAAATATTACAAACTAATCACATTAGGGACATCTTTCATAACATCAAGACACTTGAGGAGACTTGATTAGTGAGCTGTGGAGATTAATTATTTACAGTAATCAAGTAAAAGTATGCTAATACTTCAATTAACTAATTTCAGCTAGTAGTTTGCATAGTTCACACAAGTTCTTATTAGCAGTTTCTAGCTTCTTGCTTGGACCACCATGACAGAACTGGAGCACCCTGACCTATGCTCTGTAATCCTTTCTTGCTCCTGTCTTCCTTCTCTCACCCCTTTCTCTCACTTAAACTGAACTTTTATTTAATTCCTTTCCCATCTGTTTAATTCCACTTTTATTCCAGATTTTCTGTTGTCAGAATTTACTTTTCACCCCCTCTTTTGGTATGTGTATGGCACAGGGTGGGTTGGCTTCCATTCCCCCCTCCCCAATAAATAAGCAAGTAAAACATTGCTGATTACCGTTATCTAACAAGAAACAGAAAACTCTCAATTACGTATTACCTCTCTAATTAATATTATTCCAAATGCAAACTGCAGACCAAATATTTAGCTAAAGGATGAAATTTCCTGTTGGAAGCTGAACAACAGACTCTGCCTTGCTAGCTAACTCCCCAACCCTTTGCACAGGCAGGACACAACAAAACAGTGTGGCTCAAGCACCGCAGGCAAGAGGGCACAGCGAGTCTTTACAGAGGGGTCTATTTTTCTTTACCACTTCCAATGCCATTAGCTCTACTGTTCTTGTAGTGACAGCCCATTCAGAGAAGCTGGCAAAAGACACAGTTTCTTTAAAATAAAGTTTTCCACTCAAAAGCCAGCTTTTCCTATCAATTTGTCATTTTTTGATGCTTCTTAGTTTAAAGGAGCCTCAAATTCATAAGACACTATGTAGACATGCAAGATTACAACTAGAACACTACAGGGCCATTTTTAAATGTGGAAAAAATGGACTCCTGTTAAAAAAGAAAACACCAAACTGTCTCCTTGGAAACTTTTGTTTCACTAGTTGATAAAGTGACTTTCAGTACACAGTAGGTCCAAATTCCAGTCAATATTTCCTAATCACCTAAAGCAAATAAAACACTAAGTGCTATAACTCAGTTATAGAGAGCTGCAGATAGAAAAGCTTAATGGAACTGTATTATAACAGCATAAGAAACTAAATACTGTATTTAGCAAGAAATTCCCTCCCCCCTCCACTTTTTCAAGATAACTAGTTCACTTAGGGTTACATGTAATGAACACCACAAACTGAAGTAACAGTCTTTTCAGGCTGCTTCGTGAATTGCTGTTCCCCTTTCAGCTGTATAATCTAACTGCAGATAACTTCATTAGTACTGAAGTAAGCCAATGTTTTAGGGATTCTTTTTCTTAAAACAATACACAACAAAAAGATCTTTGAAAAACACTAATATACGTGTAAGATCCTTAGGGTAAAATCATGATGATTAAATTGCAATGCATGAATGATTAAGAATGAACTAAAATGCCCTGAACCCAAGTAAATGTTCAAAATCCATAGACCTGAGTTAATGCAAGAGTCAAATGCATGCAGCTATTATTTTTCAGCTTAACTCGTTAAACAATATATTAAATATATCAAACCAATATTCAAAGTTGTTTTGGATTTATACAAATGTCACTAAAGGGAACAAGCACTGGTGGTCAAGAGCAACACCTAGAGATGAATGGCAAAGAAAAACCCATTTAGCTATCCTTGCCTGGAAAATGTAGGGTAAGACTAGCATCTCTAATTGCAGAGATGATCCAAGACTTCACATTTGTCTTTCAACCCTACTCCAACTGCTAATAGCTGCACTCATTGGCACCTGGTAAACATACAAATTAAGGAATGAATAAAATTTTCAGAGTTCTCCCAGCTGAATTGACAATCATCTTGTTTGTACATATAGCAGCATTAATAATTGATTTATATGGAGAGTAAATCTTTTGTAAAAGTACATCACTAGACAACATTGGTAATGGTAGAAAGTGAATCCATGACTACATGATCCCAGTCACTTCTTCATGGAAAGATCACCATAAGCAATCCAGAAATGTAAATCTTAATTTCAAAAACATTTCATTGGTGGTTTTGTATTATATTCTCCTCCCTGTATTGCACTCAAGTACCGAATGCATGAACAATCTGAACATACAGAGAAAGAGAAAGTAAAAGTATTAATTTATTTTTAAACTGGCACAGAGAAGAGAGTCTTGTTTTGTTTAGTCTGTGATACAGTTGATATCCACACTGGCAACTTTTATCTACAAAAGGAAAGACTATTGTTAATAATTTGTGTTGTATCTCCATCAAAGCTACCCATGAAAATATGTAATTGTGGGGAAAAACTTGCCACAAGGGGGCATAGTTGAATTGCATTTCCTTAGCATATGACGTGAAGCCATTTACTTTTGTTTGCGCATAACTATGCAATTGTATCCCTGGGAGAGCACTGGACAGCAAGAATGCTTCCCCTCATTCTCATTCATAGGGTGTCTTCCTTCATTGCACTAAAATTTAAAGTATTATTTAACCAAATATCATGAACTTTACCAAACACTTTAAAATACTTCAGACATTTATGAAGTAGCTTACCCTGCAAGTAGAGTGTAAGAGAGGTGGAACAAAATATTCCATTTAGAAAGACAACAAATAAAAGCAGCGTTACTGTTTCTTTATGCAAGAGAAGACTTGACTTAGCAGGTGGTACCTCCCAAAGTTTAACAACTAGTGGTAACAAGATGGAAAAATACACAGTAAGATACAATCTCACTCTATGCAGAGGAAAAGTAGTATATAGCAAGCCATACTGTGATCTTGAACAGTAAAGTAGTATTTACTGCACTGCAAATAAATATCCCCTTTGCCTGGCTGTAACATGCATAATGAAAATTATTTTCATACCTCCTAATGTCACATTGCCATGAAGAAACCTCCCTTGGTAAATAAGCCGCAAGATATTTGGACTGCTGACTTGTTCTTCTTCCCAATCTGAAAAGAAGGGAGAGAATTTTCACAGTTACACTGTAATAAAAACATCTTATTTCTCTCACCTTTACTCAGGAGTAAAGCTAAGAACAGGACTCTCTTGAATGAAACACTGAAGAGAGAGCACAGGTTGAAGATACAGAAAGATAATTCAAAGCCAGCACTCCTGAAATCTATTCTTAGAATTATTGACGTTGGGCATGGAAACACAAAATTTTATGCCTGCAAGTATAAATATTACTAAGTAAATTCACAGATTGCATGAGATATTTAGCATATATACAAGTCCTACACAAAATATTTCATAAATGTAAGTTGCTTCCTGAGGCTTAATATCCACTTGGCTAAAATTGCCTTAGTTTCTTCCCATTCAGAAGACTCTCAAGCCACACTCCTCACCAGCTAGTTGTCCAACTGGAGCTGTTCTCCAGGAATGGGAAGCAGCCACACACACAGCAGAAGTGCATGTGATGGGTCATTTGAAATAGGACTGTCAGATCACAGCACTGAAAACGCCTTGCAGGCTGCTCAGCGGCGTTCAATGATGGCCAGATCCAACCAGATAAATGTCCAGAGGGGGCAGTGACCTGCGCAGCCCCGAACCGTCCCTGCGGAGAGCCTGAACAGAGGGCCCTCACAGAGCAGACACTGATACATTTTAAGGAACTTCTCAAAAAAACATCCACAGATTGTCCTAAGTGGCAAACAGTGATTCGGGAAAAGCAAGCATGCATCTTCCTATAGTGCATTTGCTAATAATGCTTAAGCCATCATAAATCATTTATAAGCTTAAGTGATCTTTTCCTACTCTTCTACTGTTCCCTGTCACAATGTGAACAACAAATAAATCTGCACTTTGCTTTCAGAACAAATATCATAAAACCTTGAAATGCTGAATTTAAACGGGCTCTGTGGGAATACAGTGTCTTCTGTTCCTCAGCTGACCAGATATCTGGCAACAGCTGTTCACAAATGTTCTCTCTTTCTGCTTTTGTAGCATTTATACACCAAAATGAATATTCAGCAAGGGATCACGACACGCAACAGAAACCAACCTGTTCACTGGGAACATACAATTAACATACAGGCAGTGGCAACTGGCACCACAAAAGAAGAAGAACTGAAAAGCAGAGAAGGGGAAGCATTTAAAACAAAAGCCACAGCTGCGGAGAGTGTACAGAGAGGCATCTGGTGCAAAAAAGCAAGCAGGCAGAGACACGGGCAGCAGGAGCCATCGCAGCCCCAGTGCTGCACAGAACACGGCGGAGGCAGGGCTGGTACCAACACCAGAGCCTGCAATACCCCCGGGTGCTGCCATGTGCCTGGTTTATAAGATTAGATCAAATTAGGCAACCAAAGCTATTCGAATTTCAAGTATTTCCACCCAGGGTCTGATTCAATTGTCTTGCAATTCAAGCACATGCCCTTTTGCTATGCTGTGAAGTGGGCTACCTTAAGGATCTGAATTATCACACTGCTAGGGTAAACAATTTTTTTTGAAGATACCAATTTTTTTTTTTTTTTTTTTTTACTCCATACAGTCTGAACTCCACTATACTATGCCTGTAAAGAAGAGAAGTTCAGCCAGTTTACAGTGCCGTAATGACGTAAAACAGCAACCAATAGAAGACAGACTATTTTGGCACAGGTATTTGCTCATTGTTAAGCTGCCAATTTATCCATCCTTTTAATTTTTGCTTCTTGGCTGGCAGTCTGAAACATTTCTTTCTGACATGATTTCAAATTTTAATTTCCACTGATGGCTCAATGAGCCAAGAAGAAAATATTTACCTATGACTTTTTTTTTTTTTTTTTTTTAACTGGAACAGGCCAGGAAAAAAGCAAGAAATAACAAGATAAATATTTATTGAGTCTACAAATGCTCACTTTCTATACGAAGAGAACAGGTAACCTGCCTAGATGATATACATTAATACTAATTTGGCATTTTCCACTACAAGTCAAGAGATCCTTAATTAACAACTGTGTTGCCAAAAGGGTGGAGGAGAGGTTTGCCTTATCCTCAGTCATGTGCTGGCAGGATTATGTCATGACTTCTTTTTGCCACAAGATCATAACAAGTCAAAATGGTGGCAAAACCAATCATTTCATATCATCTCTATTTCAAGGAAAATTTAGTCCTCATCAAGACTTCTCAGTCCTGTGGCAAAGAGCAGCACTCTCAGTCTGAAAACAGCCAGTGGGCTAATGTTTGTGAAAACCTATACGCTATTATGAAATAGATTTTTCCTCAGTCTTTTAAATCAACACTATTCTCCTTTGCACAGGCAATTAAATATTCATCAAGATTTACAGCACTCCCTCAGGACAGCAGGTATTTGAACAGAGGCTTCCGTGTCCAGTTCTACTTTTCTTTTTCTTTCAAAAAGAGACTTTAAAGTCTGGGTTTCTTCTCAGCTCTAAACCCAGAATCTGCAACCTTCAAGCTCTTCACAAGGCTGGAAACATGAGACCACATGTTCAGGAATAAACTTGAGTAAGAAAAAAAAAAAAACAGTTCTGCCTTTACTAATTCAGATAAAAGTACACAAAGAACATTTGGTCACGACAACTATGTTGTAGGCACACACTGAAATATGTACAGCAGCTACACAGATGCTACATCAACCAGATTTCTTACTGTAAATGTGTTTTACATCTATATCTAATACTTCAGAGGACTAAAGACCACCTCCTTCATTGCATATTTTACTAAATACATAATGCTGCATCCCAGCAAAACAAACAGCAAACAAGTCCCCTGAAACACTGTTCTTCCTGACCTCAAAGACCAGTTTAAGGCCTAAAATATGGATTATCAACACTAACTTCTTGGCATGAATTATCATCCACCATACCTCTTCAACAAAGGCACCACAGAAACAGATATTGCAATGTTTTCGTTTGCATAAATAGTAGTCTTTTTCAACATCAAAACAGTAACCCAAATGAAGTCTTGTACCAGAAGAAGCATTTTCTTTCATCGTATGGAACGCTATGTCTGTGTTTTGGCTATTTTCCCATGAAATCATATGGGGAGAACAGAAGCACTTTGTTTTTGTGGAACTATTCACGTACATATGTGAATACACATCTTAAGTTTTCAATTCCATTTTCTGAAGCTAGTATTCCTGCATAACACCAAATATATTCATACAAACAGTCTCAGTTTCCCTCAGTCTTTTTTTATGTCTCTTAAAATGTTCTTTTATATTTGATTTTTTCCTGGAAAAGTATCATTATTATGGATCCTTTCCAAGATAGGGCAGTAAGGAAGAAGTACATCAGACTCAATTTCACTAATGCGTTCCTGTGACATGCCACGTTTTATATTAGCTGTCCTCACATAAGAGATTTTATACCTCCAACATTTCCTCACACTTACTAGATCCTCTAATGAGATTGAGCAAGAAAAGAGTCTACAGATAGGAGGAAAGAACTACTTCAGTTTGGGGAAGTAAATTTTAGAAATAAAGTGGGAAATAGTCCAGACATCTAAAAATCTGCCCAACCAAAGAAACAGGAAGAAAGAAGGCATGAAGACAATTGTATTTCTATATAAATCTATGCCCAGATACACAATAAACATACTTAATTTGAACACTGAGAACAGAGATCAGTTTATTGACACTTTAGTCTGAAAATGCAGGGAAGCTTCTATCTATCTATCTATCTCTCCAGTTAAAAAGCCAAAGCCACACAGCTACTCACCCATCGGCCAGTTGTCATACACATGTTTTGCGATATCTGCAGCAGAGTCATTTGGTGAAAACAGGAACTCTTTTGTTTTCCCGCTTACCAAGATGAGGCGCAAATTTATCTGTTAAAAAAAAAAAAAAGCAGTATTAGGAAAGTATTCAGAAAAGAGTTAATTTTTTTTTTTTTTAAAGTTACTAAAAAGTTGCTATTGGTTTTAGAAGAAGATTGATCCAAACTGATGTGAGAAAAGTTTAAGATGGTGTTAAAAATAGGGTCAAAGAGGTCAATAAAATTTTGTTTGTTTACACATGATCTAGGAAGATTAAATTCTAACAGCTGGCATTTTTGATGATAAACACCAGAAGATTCTGATAGGTAGTGACTGAATCAACTGTGCCTTTTAAAAAAAAACAACCAAACAAACCAAACTTTCAGCAGAGTATAAAAGAATTCCAGCCAAGACACACTGGCAACGTATCTTCTTGAATAAAGAGGAAAAATATAAACCTGAAAAATTAAGCCGAACAGAGAGCACTAAAAATATAAAAAACTGCACCCAAACAGCCTGTGAGCCTCAGTAAAAGCCCTAGTACACTCCCTCCAGTATGATATTTGTCAGCCCTGATCTCACCCACTGCATCTCCTACGTAACACCAGGGAGTCAGACGGCATCCTTCCTCGATCCCAGCTGCCACAGAACTTGAATCCTTCTGCCAGTTTTCTGAACCCAAAACTTTGTTCCACCACTGTCTTTCACTACAAGCAAACTGGTTGAGATCCACATGCAATACAGTAATAACACCACATCATAGTTTTTCTATCATCGATTTCCTTTACCTAAAAATCAGCATCTTCAGCTATAATTTTCCTCTCTTCTATTTGCAAGTTACTGCATATAATCCCTTTTCCATATAGTATTAAAATATAAAGAGCTCACTATGACATGATTATTTACAATGCAAAAGAGATTAAATTTTGGCTCCTCAAGCAACTGCTAGCAAGGTCACAAAATGTGTTTGGGTAGCTAGCTCTTTACCAGCGCCCATGGCAAGTAGGAGTCTAGCTGCTTTTGTGTTTTGGCCTACAAGCCTAAATTGCATCACCTTTCAGCAAGACTTCAGCATCCTAACTGCTTGGATACTTTTTTCCGAATCACACTCTCACACTGTGGCTCTCATTTGAAGTTAAGTTGCAACAAAGCTTTCCTTGTTGGAATTCAGTAAACTGTTTTCTAGATCAAATACAAAAGGAAAAATTTACAGTGATGCCCAAGTTTTCAAGACTTCTTCAGGGTCAAAAATCTCAGCACATCATACCCACTGAACATGACAGTCCTGCCTCAGTTACCTACTTACCACTTATTTCAGAAGCTCTCCAGACAGACTGTCTATTCTCTCTTGAATGCTTTGGCTTGGATTCATCCCACCTATCTTTAAGCACCTAATGGAGGTCTCCAAATTACAATCTCTATCATCCTGCACATTTCAAGTTCAATGAAGAAAATGACCCCTCGAAAAAGCAGTTCAGGCTCTATTTCAAAATGTAGCAAAGATGAAAAGAGTTAGCGTAAAAGGGCTAGGTTCCCCTCCCTGTCCCCCTGCTAATGCCCTTCAGAAAATATGAGCTCTGCCATTAGCCCAGGAAAGAAGCGAAGTGGTAGCCATCTCTGAAAAAGCACCACAGCCACTGTAAGAGTATCACTGCACACAAAGACATTGCGAAAAACTTAAAGGAGAGAAGATACAGATATGCTGTTTAGTCAAAGACAATTATTCATAAAATTCAGAACACATCTGGCTATAAACATTAAAGTTCCGTTTTCTCTGGTATTTCCAGAATGATTAAGGAATTATTTTCAAATCTCACCAGGATTTAGCACAAAAGGCAGACAAAGTCCCACTATTCCTGTTTACTCCAAAAACCTGAGTACTGTAATGAATTACAATTTAAAATCTTATGGCTAAATTTAGCAATGGCCAGACTATGTCCACTTGTTTTGCTTATATTGTCTTTCAGTTTAAGTAGTTTCCCCCCTCTTAGCTGTCTCCACCTGTGTACATATAGACAACACTTACATATATGGTTTCTTTAGCAGCACTACCCAAGACAAGCTCTTCAAGCTTTCTATAGTGAGATATCCATTTCCCCATTCATCCTAGGAGCCTGTCTCTGCACATTTCAATTTCTTCACTTTTCTCCTCAAAACAGATCACTATGTCTGAAGCATACTAAACGATGTCTCACCAGTTGGTTGTATAACACCACCAGTAATTTCCTCTGTCTACTGGAAACATCTTCTGTGATTGCGTCCCAAGAGCACATATACCTTCTTCATAACTGCACCACGCTGTTTGCTCAGTTCCTTCGTATCCTTCTGCGCTTTGATCCTTTCAACTATTCTGCCTCCAAGCTTGTAACTGACATTTTGGCTGTAATGCCCTAAAGCACAAGGCTCCAAGTTTCATCCCACTCCTATTACTCCATCTCTCCCTGGGAAAGGAGGGTAGGTGGAAAGAAGTATTCTGCACCACAAAGATGTTTCAGATCTCCCCCATGTCTGGGCCCATGGCCTATGAAATCCCCCCAAAACTTCTCTGTAACACTTCTTTCTCTCTACATTAAGAGCATTTTTCAAACTTTATGTCATCAACAAATTCTAGCGGCAAGATCCCTTTATGTGGACCTTTGTCATTAAATGAATCAGGAAATGTAAGACCAATCTGACAATTGAACCATAACGATTCCAATAACGAGCTCTCTCTGAGCTGGTTTCCCCCTCCTCTCAGCTAGGCCCTTTATGTTAGGTCCTTACACACGCTCACAAGTTCTCTATTAAATCCTAATTTCTCCTATTTAACCAACAGTTTGCAATATGGCACCACATCAGTTACTACGTACATATTCAGATAAAACTATAAAAGTCTATGTAGAAAATAAGTTATTTTCATCAAAAGTCAGCTTGCCACACTCCGGCTTTCAGAGGCATGGTGTACTGCACTCCATTCCACTTTCTCTATACCTCATTATCTTTAATTATCCTTTAAGCATTAATGCATCTCATTACAACACCAACATACTGCCAAAAATTTAGGAGGTTTAGACTGCGTCACAAACTATTATTGTACTTGGGAATGGGCCGCCTGTTTAAAAAACAAACAAACCAACCAACCCCAAATATTTGGCAGCAGTGGCTGGGGCAGGCACTCGTGGTGAGAAGCTTCTTCACCAGCAGCCCTCCTGCCTCTCGCCCGCATCCCCCTGCATCCATTCCCTCTAACTAGCTCCTGAGACACCCCCCTTAGCTTGCTCCCTCCGGCCAAGCAGTCCCCCAACTCTGATTTTATGCAGAAAGGAATCTAAGGATTTCTTTTCCTTCATCTGTGTGTAGTTTATCTGTGGTGGGGATTACCTGTTCTGAAGATCATAACACTTTCCTAGGCAGGAGACATAACAGCAAACCATCAGCTCCCTAGAACTGTCTGATTTGTACCCTACAAGGAGATTATTAAAAAAACCCCAGAAGATTAGTCCTGCTCAGCACTTAAAATATGATTGGGGCACAGCATTAATATAGAACTAAAGTTATTTTTCAGCTAGCATAACATTAAGGAGACACATTTCTTTTTATTCTTACTACTGAGTTTTGAGATTACCAGGCACACTAAAGTGAATACGGAAAGGAGAAGAATATCACAGAGCAGTAATCAAAACTAACTTGGCTTCCTGGAAAATTTGATTAAGTCATACTTCTGCAGTTAATATACAATGTAAAATCAATATAAGCAACAGGGGAGGGGGGGAAGTGAAAAATGTTAGTTCCTTCTTTCCCCCCCACTGCCCCAAGATGGATAACTTAGGGCTCAAGTTTTTTGTTGCTGAAAAGCATTTCTTATAGTCTTACTATGAAATATAAACATCAAGATAAACTAGTAATTTTACAGGATATACTATAAAGTATATGTAAAATGCAGGAGGAATATTTGCATTTAAAAAAAAAAATTATCACCCAATATCAGCAGAAGCCCAAAATAAATTCTTAAATCAGTCAAGCAGATGTTGCATCAAGTGCAAGGAAACAGCTGCTCTAATGAAAGGTTAAAGTATTTTCTTATTTATAGTACAGCACGCCACTGACACATTTAGTTTGCATGTTTGTCTATATATATGCACATATATATAAGTCTTTATATTTGTATTTCTTAATTTTGGCTTGAAGGAATCTTAATCTTGAGTTGCACATCACACTACCTCAAAGGGTTTGAAGCAAAGAATCCCAAAACTTGCCTTTAATTTTAGAGTCTAATCTCATTTCCCTCAAGAGCATTGGGAAATTTAATGGCTTGCAACTGCTGTACTACTTACTCTGCAAGCCTGAGAACCCCACTTCAAACAAACTGCAGGGGATCTGAAACAAACCTTTCTGGCAAAATACCACTAATGGAAGTTCATATCTAAAAGGGAAAAAAAAAAAAAAAAAAAGAGCATATGCATATACACATTTACTCAAAGGAAAGCACAGGAAAAAAATCTTGGTTAGATAGAGAAGTTTTGACAAAAAAGCAGCAAATTTTAATTTTTCAAGTTATGAAAGAATTCTTAGTGGTCTTAGCTACCCTGTATCCTATTTCCTACATTAAAAGTTAGCAAGGAAGTTGTATCTGTATCCCTTGTATGCTTAAAGCCCCTCCACCTATTCTTGTCAAAAGAGTCTTGGTCCCAAGACACTTTCACGATTCTCATGGCCCTGAGAAGTTTGCTCTTCCACAGGGGACGTAACAAGGACTGCCCTGATTTTTTTATTTTATTTTTTTTCAGGCTACCAAAGGGAATTCCAGCCTTTTGCTACAGCAAACTGATAAGGCTCATATCCTCACACTTCTGCATTACAGCACCAGCTGCAACATTACTGATGAAGGCAGTTAAGAAGAGCCACAGTATCAGAAGTAGGATTAAATACAATTCATGGACTACATCCCCTCCGCACAGTTACATAATAGCACATTCTGTTTGTGATCTCAAGCATGCAAACCTCGCCCTCTCTCCCCCCCACACCACAGCCAGCACCGATGTCATAATTACAGCTCCAGTAACTACTAGATTATATACTGTAAAGCAAAAAAA